ATAAACAAACTCTTGTGAAGTTAAGAAGGGTGGTGGAATAACACACATTTTGTCCGGTTCCTTGTAACACATGGAAATGCACGTCACGTACACTATTTGTCACTTCACAAAATCAATAAACATTGATGAGATTGGTATAAATAAAAATTACTGAAATTACGATTAATCATTTTCATAATTTTAAGTAATTAACTATGTCATGGTACTAAAACGACCCGGTTGAATGATATTGTTTTGTAGCTGGCAAATAACAACCGCTCACGTGTCAATCTGTTTGACAGCTACTGTATCACATCGATGTAATCTAAGCCTTATTCATAAACATGATATTGATAAATTTGAAATCTAAAAAATGTTGTTGAATTTTAAGTTGTTTTGATCAGTTTTTGGTTTGCACTTGTTTGTTTACTTACATATTATGTATGTCGTTAAATGAATTTACTTATATTATTATGCGTACATGTATATAACCTTATAAACGAGTATGCATCGATGAATGTTTCCTGTGTACTTCATATGCAGATTTATTTTGTCTCCCATATAAAAAGTTCTTTTAAGTATGTTGCATTTCGCGCATGCGCATTCTGCGTAGGGCGAAAGCGCAATAACGATAGCATACATTTAGCGCACTTAAAGTCTTTAAAAGGCGTGATTTCAAGTTATGTCACACAGAAAAAAGATATTTTGGGATAAATTAAAGTGGTAAGTACTTAAAACGTGAATTGATATTTATAACAGATATACAAAATTAGCTGGACTTATAATTCAACGACCAAAAGTCCCTGTTCAAGATATCATTAGGTGACTTTTTCATCAGTAATTTAAATTACAACAGCAGGGTGTTAAAGATCACATTTTATTACCCATGTATTACATAATATTACACAATTGGTATTCCTTTGAAAGTGGATTGGCAAGGCGGTAAGTGTCAAACAGATTGACACGTGACCGGTTGTTATTTGCCAGCTACTTAACAATATCATTCAACCGGGTCGTTTTAGTACCATGACATAGTTAATTACTTAAAATTATGAAAATGATTAATCGTAATTTAAGTAATTTTTATTTATACCAATCTCATCAATGTTTATTGATTTTGTGAAGTGACAAATAGTGTACGTGACGTGCATTTCCATGTGTTACAAGGAACCGGACAAAATGTGTGTTATTCCACCACCAATCTTAACTTCACAAGAGTTTGTTTATATATTCATAGACAAAATAGTCATATATACACCTGGTAAGAAGTTAAGCACACCCCGGAAAAGTAAAATTGGTTTGTGATTGAAAGCACTGTCATGACATGACGACTTTATTGAGCTAAGGAATAATAATGTGATAAGTAGCATTACCAGTTTAGTAATCATAAACTAGTAAATTTATGAGTTAAGTTAATTCTTAACCAAATTATTGAAGCATAAGCAAATTTGTTATTTTTTACCAAAATGTAAGTGTTAAAGGGTCCGTCACACCATGACGTTCTGGTCAACGCTGTCTGAACGTTTCAATAGTTCAATTTGTGAACGTTTATGAATGAGGTTGACACATCTAGCGTGTGATAAACGTGCGTCTAACGCATAACTAACGTGTGTCTAACGCACGAGACGCGTGTAACAGTGACGAAGTAAGATACGACTGAAACCCACCAGCGTGTGCTAACTCGCCACTGGCGCAAGACAAACTATTTGTCAACGCCTGAGCGTGTGACTAAGGCGTGAATAACGACACAATTGCAACTTGATAGCATGTTGAATTTTACGGCTAAACGGGTACAGGACGTTGGAACTTTCATAGTGAATTCATTTATTCTTGTGTGTTTGAATAGTCAGCATCATGATTACAAGAAGAACAGATTGGGATGAGGGCTTCCACTAGCTACATTTTGTATTTCCGAATCCTTGACGTCTTTATATTTATGATTTAGTCCAAAACTGGCGTCTGTGTCGGGGTCTTCTCTGCGGATGATTTCCATCGATATATTCAGCTATGTTAAAGTTCAGTACATCTACTTGATGCTTGGCTATAGCAAACATATACAGCCTACTAAATTTTTCAGGATCTTCCATAGTAGGTGTTCTCTACGATAGCCCAAAATCAAATAAACCTTGCTTTTTACAAATGCATAGTCGTTCTTGAAACGGTCGAATGACGCACAAATAACGCTCAATGGACGCAAAAAGGATGTTCCTTTACCCCATTGAGTCACACGTTTTGTGCACTTGAAGACCGTTCAGCGGTCGTTGACAGGTCGTCTGTGATTCGCCAGTGAGTTGTTGAGTGCAAAGCAAACAATTAGTAACAACCAAGTAGCGATTGAGTAACGGCTGACTACCGATAGACGAACGTGTGCAACGTTCAGTGAAAGTTAGTAAAACGTTCTTCAGCGTTTGAAATTAAAACGTTGAAGAACGCTAGCCTGAGTGAGAACTTTTGTGTATGTTCAAAACTTTTTTCCGGACCAGCGTTCTACGCCGATTCCGGCGATTAGAGACGTTCACTGGCGTTCACACAACGTTCTTCTGGCGCTATCCTAGCAACCATGGGCGACTTACATGGGGTTGCGTTCATTGAACGCCGCCTTTCCTTGTTGATCTTGTTTTTCATATTTTACAACGTTTCCCAAAACGCCATAAAACGCTGACTAGAACGTCATGGAGTGACGGCCCCATTATAAGTATTTATATATTATATATTTATATAAAGCATTTACTGATGGATGTTTTTGGTAAATGTTGACGATTACGTAACATAAAATGGCATAATGTAGCCAAATATTATTAACGTGTGTAACCGCCACCTGCCCGGATAGCATCAACCCTTCGATGTTATCACAGCCAATTCTAAATTTCGGGTTGTGCTTAACTTATTTCTAGGTGTATACATAAAACAATATTATCTTGAATATTCACCCGCTCAGATTAATAGAGAGAGCTATTGATGCGTTAATGCATATGAATATAATGTATAGAGAGCTTTTGATACGATTTACGGGCGAGGCAAAGCCGTCTTCGTGACAATTTAGTTTAATAATATTTTATTGCATATTTTGTACATGATTAATTTACACAATCTAACATCAATATCTTCAGCATGAATATAATGTACATACAAAAGGGTTGGACCAAAAGTTATACCAACATTATCTAGGGTCCTCCCCTGAAGGTCTATCTTGTTGGCTTAATGGTAACATAGTAAGTAAAGGTGGTTTTTAGACATTCTGAGATATTTAATGACAATTAATCTCGTATGTTGAGTCTCATATGCACTATCCCTCTATCTTTACATTTAATACCTGCGTTAAAAACAAACTTCACACTAAGAAACACACGTTCAAAGTAAATAGAAACACACGGAATGAATAGCATGATTTATTGAATGTACTTTCAATAATAGAAGTTATCGTTTCTCAAATAATATAATGTCAATATACAATTATTATATCGATATCAGATCCTTAATAGGACGATAGTGCATACTTTTAACCCCCCAAAAATGGAAATGAAGCATGACCGGGTATATGTAAGTTAAATTCGCCGGGACCATACTTTGTTTCTGTTATGCCGAACAAGATTTACATAAAACATTGTATTTTAAACATGAGTAACACTATGAATTTTAAACATGATCTATTTTCACAAGCGTTTCTTTAATGCAGACTTGTTATTTACATAAATCTATTTATAGAAGCATGACATGCTAATGTTGTTATTTCAGTCTTTATCCGAGTCAAGGTCAGGGTAAAATATGTAAATGAAAAACAAACAAGTTAAATTTGATGCTGCACATCAAAGACGCCGCAAAATGATGTGAACAGTCACAGGTAATGTACAAAATCAGCAATAAGTATTGCTCTCTGCAGTTGAAACTCCGAAGCTGTAATCAGTCTTCTTCTTTTTTTTGGCAAAATAGCTTATTTTCGGTATCCATCAATACAGCGTTTGGTTAAACACCTAAACTGGTATAAGGGTAAATAAATACCAAAATCCACCCAGCCTACAGTGTCAAGAAATACTCCCCGACTGACCGAGGCATAATTAAATGTTTGTATACTAAATTGAAGATTTTCAATTCAACCCCTTTTTATTATTTTTCAAAATGCAAGTTTACACTTATCATATCGTCGATACAATTTATAGATTGAAAATGCATTACGGTAATTAAAGGAATTACGCTGATTATACCGGGTACCCTAATTTCCTCAACCACAACTTTTCGGCCCTTTCTGTTGGTATTGATAATAGCCGAGGATATTCCGCTCGATAATTTCCTGCTTTAGAATATAGACTGGCTCATTGGCACGTTATTTTATTGGTAAATTATAAAAACAAGATATAAGTTAAAAGAATACGATTTTTAACCATGATAGAAGTATCACTTTTGTTGAACGTTTATTTAATTCTATGACGCTCGGCGACATGTTGATCATCAGAAAAAGCTATTTTTATCCGAAAATCTGAAAATTGTGTAATTTTGTTAGAACACAAAAAAAAACAACAACAAAAAACAAAAAAAACAAGACTAAAATTTTCACCATTGCTGACTGAACGAATGCATATCTACTAGACGGCGCGTGCACGCGGCGTCTTGTAAATAACAAATCCCCCCGCCCTCCCCTAGGGTGACAAAATGTTCATGAAAGGCTGATATAATTGTGTCAATGATTTATTTTAGATAGATTTTCAATATATTTAATAACTGAATCACCAACACCCATCCCTAATTTAATATTTTAAAATTGATTAAAAATTGTATGTACAAAAGATATACACACAAGTGCTGTAAATGTAAATTTTATGATGTTTTTTTCTCTCAAAGCTTACTGTGATTTTTAAATGACATTCAACTTACTTACCCATTTCTAGCTTTAATTGCATACGAGGCATATACTCTTGTACATGTATCACATATATTCGTTAAGCTGCTAGATCAGGATGCTACAAAAAATAAGGAAAAGTGTAATTAAAAAAAAATTAAACACTTACAAAACATTTATATAGAAGAGATTCAAGTATCTAACAGGGAAGTTCCGTCTTTCAAATAACTAAACACAAATATGATTTTGAATTAGATATTTTTATGATGTAATTGGATATTATGCAATATCATGATGAATTTTGTTCAGTGTTTGTCTCTTTGATTAATTAAAAAGTTGCAAAAAGGTACGTTCAAGACATTTATACGTTTACTTTTCATATCAATATAATTTCATAATTATAAAATATTTTTGTTTATAAATAAGTGAATGTGTGAGGAAAACTAAGGAAAAATAAATGAGGAAAAAAAACTCATTTTGACATACATGATAAAACAAATGTGTTTGGTGTGTATAAACTTCGTTATATAGATGCAAATACTTTGTATCGCATAAATACATCTGCTTGGTATTTATGACATTTATATTAATATTTAGTATTTAGATTTGTATGTAAACTTTAAAGTCCATGTAAATCAAAACTGTTGATATTGTTAATTGTATTGTAAACGTAGATACGACCTTCATTAAATTTTATAAATCGTTATATCGTAGTTTTTCTACTAGTTAGTGAATTATTATTGACATTATTAATATATTACCCCTCACTAATTGTGTAATGTTAATATCTTATAGATGAATGGGAGTAATTCATATTGTTAAGTCAAGTGTACCATGTGACTAAAATTGTGTACTATAACATAGGTAACAGTACTTTTTTAACAGTCAAAATTTAAAAAAGAAAAGAAAGAAAAACTGATAAAAAGTATTTCCCAATAAAGTATTTGTTTTGAGTAATAGAATAAATAATATATTTATTTAGTTTGTAAGAAACGGCACAAATATCACCCCTTGTAAAAATTCTGTTACTCTCCGCTAATGCCTCTGGATGATACGGTTACTGTTACTCACAAACCTATGTTTTATTTATATACTAATAATAACACTTTAACAGACGTATCTTTAATAAGTTGCGGATAAATTCATAATGCAATTTCTTTTATTGTTTTCAATGTTTCTATTCTTTAATAATAATTATTTTTTGTGTGAATTCCTTGTATTTAATAACATACTCATCCACTAGGTTTGTTTACGAAATAACCAAATTGTTTTATAATATTTATATGTATTTAAGAAAACAAACCAATCAAAAAGACAAGCACTAACGCACTAGAATGATTTTGTTTCAAGCTTTTAATTTATTCAAAACAATTCTAAAAAATTGCATTTTTTCCGAACAGTGAGCCTATGCACTATTTTCTCTCGCAAAACTCGTTAAATAAACAGCTTCATTTGTTTCCAGGAAGTTATCTGCGAATGAAGTACAATAAAGTGATGGTGTGTGATGAATAGTCAAAGACAATCAGTGTTATCTATTATAATAAATACTTCGATGTTAGACAAGTGATATGTGCATTATGGCCAAGATCATCTTAGTAACACTGCTTATGTGCATCATGTATTCTGGAGGAAACAGTTTGGCTTTAACTGAGAAGCGTATGCCCGATAAATTTGAATGCAACAGTAACTATTCTACAAGATATTCGGGACTGAGGATAGAAAATGGTGCAACTGATGCACAGATTAAAGATTGTTTAGAGACCAGCAATCATACTGAGGCATTGTTGCTACGAAACAGTCATTTAAGTAGTATTCCAAAGTATTTAGACACAATGGGAAATCTTGAGTATATAGATTTATCATACAACGCTATAACGGAAGTTACATTTGAAGGAATCGAAAGCATTTGTCAACAACTTACACACCTTTTACTAAACAATAATAACATCGAGGTCTTGGAAAAGGGGATCTTGATTGCTTACAGTCCCTACAATATCTTTACCTTGGAAACAACAACCTTAGATATGTGGAAAATGGAACATTCAGTGAAAAAATGAAGAGTATAAAATATATAGATCTAGTTAATAATAGCCTAACAGTTTTAGACTCTAGCTTACTAAGTAAACTAAAACTGTCTCATAATATGAAGCTAGTAATAAACGCGTCAAGGAACTTTATTACAGGAATTACTAATTCGGCAAATATAACGATAAATGATTTCAGCGATAAAAAGGCTATATTCATCATAGCAACACACAATAATTTTACAACTGTTGACATCAATTATTATCTCAAACTATTGAATGTCACAGATTATGTACGTTTATTACGATTGTGGACCACCGGGTTCGACTTGCGTTTTAATCCGTTTATTTGTGACTGTGCACTTTATCCTGTAGCTGACGCTCTTAGAAGGTTTTGGCACATGAATCTGAGGCCAGATGTACCTATATTTTCAGTGACATGTGGAAGTCCTCCTAGTCTGGCAGGAATGTTGGTACGCAACGTTCCAACTGATCAGTTCAATTGTTCTGTTGAGTGCCCAAATAAGTGTATATGTAACAAAACCGATGCACGTGGCCTCATGACCATCCACTGTAATGAAAAGTATATAGAAAATAATCTCCCAAAGACAATTCCACATGCTAAAAGGATAAACCTCAATATTAAATCTAACAAATTGACAACACTCTCTTTCAGAGAATATCTCCGTAATGTCTCACAATTTGATGTATCTCAGTGTGCAATTACAACCATAGAAACATCGTTTGTTGACATGATAAAAGATGCTTCTTTCGATGCTTTATTTTTAAATGATAATAGACTTAAAACGATACCAAGGTCTTTTAAAAACCTTAATTTCAGCAAAGGACAGGTCTTGGCGTTGGATGGAAATCCATTCATTTGTGATTGCCATTCCCATTGGATGAAAACTTGGCTTCGTTCCAACAAAAAGCACATTTTACGGCGGAATAACACTAGATGCGCAACTGGTCCAGGTAAAGGCAAGCCAATACATGAAGTACCAGACAATTTATTTATTTGCGAATCTTTTACAAACATCGACGAACTACTTTCCGTGATTGGCTCAATTACATTTCTCGCACTTCTTCTTGTTATTTTGTGGTATAAATCTAAAAGTATACAAGTATTCATGATATCACATTTTGATATATGCAAGTATTGCTGCCGGAAGAGAAAACACCGCCAGTTGTTGTACGATATCTTCATTCCTCACTCATGTGAGGACGATGATGTTATCAAACCTATTGTTGATTATCTTGAAAATCACCATCCGCCATATAGGGTATGCATTGGCGAGAAAAACTTTAAACCAGGTAAAACAATATCTGAAAATATACTGGATGCAATTGAATCCAGTCAAACAACTTTGCTTGCCATTTCCAATAACTTCATAAGGAGCACGTGGTGTAACATGGAGTTTCGTGAAGCTCACATGAGGTTTCTGAAAGACAGGAATATCAATATGCTGTTGATTGTGTTAGAGGAATTAGACAACAATCTTATTGGCAAGGAGTTAAAAATTTACATGGAAACGCATGTGTACATCATGTATAGGGACACTCAGTTTTGGGCAAAGCTTTTACAAAGCCTTCCTATTATGATTGAACCATCTGTTACTGACGGAAAGTAGTTGTTTTAAATTAGATCAGACACTTGACAAACAAGAAAATACACAAGTACGGGGAATACTTAGAATACTATACAATACTATAAATTGGAGGCGTTATACATATAAAAACAGTTACAAGTTGTGTATACTATTTAAATATTCAAGATGTATGTTCGATTGACCATAGAACGTCTTTGTTTTTTCGGGCAAGTCTTTGCTATTTCGCACACATGCATATTGAACAAAATACTAGTCTGCTTTTTCTGCGATGTTTTATCCATTTAGCAATGATTTCATATTTTAAGAGAAAATAAGATTATTTACTATATTCCTTTCATTCAAACTGTTTGAAAATATTATGCTTTAAACTTCAGGTTGTGCAGGAGATTACAGCTTTATACACTTTAAAAAGATTTTTTTATATCTTCCTATTGTTCGTTATATTTGTTGACTTAATTAGCGTATGTGCGCCCAGTTAAGTTACACCCTATAAATACTTGTAATTTACTGTATAATAAATTATGTATTTTATGTAAATTATGTTATATTAACAAATTGCTGTACAACAATCTATATAATATATTAAATTACACATTGTCTTTTTTCGACAAGCGGACACACAGATTGACATTTACGGGAAAGTTGTATTTACTTATTCCTTTATCATTTTCGTTTTGTTCATTATTGTTGCTTACTAATACCATATCACTTGTCACATAGATAGGCCTAATAAACCTTTTATATATTTTTTTGCAAAGGTATGACAATATCCCTATAATCCCTACTTTTTAAGCCGCTAATACCCACTGATTTCCTTCTGTTAAAAACAATTGAGTCATTTTGCCCTACAATGTCAAAGGAGGTTGCATGTCAGCCTGTATACTAGTACATGTATAAAAACATACAACGTAAACTTTAAACTTTGATACATGTTCGAGGTATTTAATCATTCAGGTTTAACGCCTCATTTATGTTCCTGCGTAAGACATAGAACTTTAAGTCCAGTATTTCATTAGTTTGGTTCTTGTTAAATTATTATCATAATGGTCGATAATTCTATGGTTTTTAGATGTATTTATTCCATTTACGCTTGCTATAGGTACGCTCCAATACCTTATTTGCAATACCCTATTTGAAATAATTCATATTTATAATATATTACTCCTCATATAATTTTCCATTTTTCATGATTCTCCGTTAGTCCGTGATTCCGAGTAAACAGTGTACTCAGCAGAGTGGCTTGACAATGTCGTTGCGGAATAACACTGCACTGTTGTTCAGCATGTTACAATGCACAGTCTTTACAGTATGAAACTTTACTTTGATAATGATGATTTTAATGTTAGTACTTTGCAAAAACAAATCTACCAAATGATATAACATATTTTCAGATTGGGAAACAATGTATCCAAAACGGGAAGCAGCTTTTATCATGTGAAACTAAACTTTTTAATTAATCTTAAGTCCGAATTATTTCAATTGTAAGTCCTTTATACCTGAGTCATTTCCGACCCAATAGGACTTCAGATTTATCTTTTCTACATCACATAGTGATTTTCTAATGTTATTAGGGTAAAAAACTATTTTTACACAGGTCATTCCTTCTGAGGTGCCGTTAAATAGATTAATGAACTTTCTGTTTGGGAAGGACTTTAAAATTTACTGACTGATCTGGAACAACACTGAAGGGGAAACCCCTTGTTTTCTAACAGGAAGTATGTCCGATTGATAACTTTTCAAGTTGAACAGCAACGTAAAAGAATCGAATACAACTGCAAATCATTGCATCTTATAATCTAGATACTAGCTTTTTGACCTGTACAGAGACCTCTGAAAACGTTAAAGTCTTATATATAGATATCTATTATACTATTTATCTACCAATCGGTCATTTTATCTTGCTGCTATAGTAGTTAAATAAATAATTCGTTGAGTTATAATACATTGGTAAAATATTATTTTGACTACCTTTTTCAATTGTGCAGTGTGAGCTTGGTATAATTCTATTTTCAGGACATAAACGATTCTATAAATTCCTCATCCGTTCCTGTCAGATTTTCATAACAAAGATTACGATTATCGTTACAAAGAATTAACCTTTTAAGTAACTGTGTTTGCTAAAAAATATGAATGAGGATTGAAAATATATAAACAATTGAATTAAATTTATATACAAACTCTCAAGTAAAAACTTAGTTGTAACTTACAGATCGAAATATACTTAACCTTGATTTTTTAAGTTACACATTCAGATGTATTTAATGAAAATCTGTTAATTTAAAACATGTTTTGATATATTGATTAAAATTATTGAAAATAAAATGTGGAAATCAAGAAAAAGCTCCTATGCTACCCGACGATGTTACAGTACTTCAAAATATATGATTTTAAGATGTACCGGTGAATTATGCGTGTTCACTGAATGGTAAATGTTGCATATAAAATATAAGTAACCATATTTGCAATAATTATTTATTTATGTTTTAAGCAGCATGATATGGCAACATTTGTCAAAGGAATATATTTGTTATCTGATGGTTTCAACTCTACAAAAAAACTTGAATGTAAAAAAATAGTATGGATGCCCATGTACCTGATTATTAATAAAGCAACATAAACTGCTGTTCTTTTGTTATTATTATTTATGTAAAAATAAATAAAATATTGAATTTATCAGCTAAGCCTCTAAAATTCTAAGAATGTTATCATATTCTCCTATGTTAATTCTGACATTGATTGTACATGCTTAATTGGCTAATGGTTAGGATATAAAGTGGATGTACAGTTGCCTTTACTTGTTTTTTAAAGTTGTTGTAACGACGAAAAATGTCTAGACGTAAAGAAATGTCAAATGACAAATGCCAAATGTGGTTTATAGATTTATCTTGTTAAGTTCATATGTAAAAGTGTTATGCTTGTAAATAGGTAAATTGAAATATGAATTATATTTGTATATAAAATTTAGACTTTATTAGGTAAAAGTATGTCCTGTTTCAAATACCTATGTCCTGTCTCGATATTTCATAATAACATCCCGAATTGGTGTTTTATATGAGAGAATGTCATAAATTAATACAAAACGATATTTAAGCTTTATAATATTTCGTTTTATTACAGAATGAATATTTTACCAAAACATCGCGTATAAATCAAATGACAATACCGGTCTAAGAAAATGAAATTTCACAATGCTAATGTCAACATTAAATTTACAATACAGTTCTCTTATAGCAAAATAAATGTAACAATAAATGATTGTGACATGAAGTAATTGTATTGTTGTTTTTTTTCCATTATAAGGATCTTAATTTTCTAGGGCTTAATAATATACATTCATTTACCTGTAAACATTTGCCGAAAGAGTACATTAGATATACATTAAATATTCACTTTCAAAAATGATACTTTCTTGTTCTGTGACTGACTTTTTGTTGGCATTAATTTATAATATGTTTGTACTTAGTAGCGTTTTTTTATGTAAAGAGAAATCTGAGGAAAACAAAATCTTTAATTCATTATATTATACTAGGTTTTGTCTTGAAAGTAAAAAGACAATCATATTTTGTTAAAATGTCTTGAGCCTAGGTTACATGCTATTACATTGGTTTTCAAATCATTCATTAGCAAAATGTCTTGCATATGCCTTTTGCCATCGATCGGCTTATTTCGTGCGTGTATATATTTCACGAGCGTGTAGTCTCTTCTTATTTTAATATTATTCTTATTATAATCGTAGAATAAAACATAAAGACATACCATTTTGGAAAAAAATCAAGTCAAATTTACATAACGTCTTTATTCACTAAAGAGATTGTGTGTTCTAGAATAGATTGATAAGATATTTTGCATGAAGGGCATCACATTTCCTCATACGGAATTAAAACAAAAATGTATTATTTCAATTCTTGAATGATGTTTTGGGTTTACTACCGTTTCCATTACAATTGTTCTCATTTTCTTCTTCAATCAATACTTTTGTCTTTTAAATTCCTTCAGACTTAAAGGCAGTTTCGGGAATATTTGAAAATAAAAACCCGATTGATTTATTGTGTTACACAATATATCTGACATACTCTTGAAAAACTTCTTCTATAATTACGGGTTCTTTGTCCGTAAATGAGGTTCAAGTCAAAGCACGTAATGGTCAAATTACGAACTATTTATACTATTTTGTGCTTTTTGTACTTTATATATTGATTAAAGATAAAAGTACTAGGTTATTAAGTAAAACGGAATAATTATCTATCCGGTTCTATTTTTGGTAAGAGATAAATTACTGACATTCACACAATTTCAATATAAATTCTATTCCTGGGACTTAATAACAACATTATCAATTACAAAAAAGCATTGGTAGTTACTGTATAATTAATCCCTTTGGAAATATATTTTTGCGTGCTGAGACGCTGATTTTGTGCGGGAATTTCCAAAAGTAGACTGATATTTAACCTAAACATAATTAATAACTAATAATATATCTACACTGGTATTTTCAATTCGCTGTTTTCCATTTGAAGTAATATGTTCAGCACTGATTACTTTTGAAATGAATTCATCATTCTATCCGAGTAAAGCAAACACAAATTATTCATATTATATTTATTGCAACACTACCATTACTTTATGTTATATATTAAGTATATCGTAAAACACGGTATGGCAAAACTAGAAGTGGAGCCATTTCATTGATCATTAATGTGATTGAGCGGATGTCAAGTGAAGTTTAAATAATATGGTGATTTATCCATAGTTGTTTGACAGTAACATTGACCTCACAATTTATTTCGTACAGTTGTTACATTCAGTATTTTGTATGGAAGTCAAAATACTGCTTAGTTTACATTTTACAAGTAATTTCTCATTCAGCTTTCAACACATATTATTATCAATGACAACATAAAGGAGTATTTGCATGTTCATTCTTAATAAAATTCACATTACAATATTAATTAAAATTTCAGACATATAAATTGATTACTGAATTGGTTGATTTGTTTACACTTACGAATTGAAGTATTGAGCTCTACGGTACATACATTTGTATATATTGTTAATTAAAACAAGACCATAAACTATTTAGATTGTAAATAAATCAACACAAGACAGACAGGGTGCATTGTCTGGAAATGATTGATTTTATTGCTTGCCAACAAATAAATAATCACTTCGATTCGGCAGAGATAGATCGAATTTCATGCAATGAATAAACGACAGAAAGCAAAATGTTGTCCCCATTCTACAGGTTGAAATGTATATATATTATATGCTATGCTACACATTTTGCCTTTGAACGTTACACAATTTCTAAAATCAGTTGTTATCCAATTACTTAAACGTTAAATGTGGTAAAATAAATGATGTACAGTGAAATAATGAGACTATCTATATGACCATAACGAGATAACTTAAAGAACAATTTAAGATTAGTTTCTTACATTTAAAGTTAAGCAATACTTGGGGAAAGATACTGACATTAAGCTTTATGCCCCCGAAATTGCCAAACTAACCTTGAAATAACGTACTTAGATTTTAAGAAAAAGTAAAAAAAAACAATTCAACAAATAATTGACATGTCATGCAAGGTATGCAAAAATGACTGATTTTTGCTGTATTATCCCCATATCTCTACAGTAAGGGGTAATTTTGCACATTCTGATCTTCTTTGGTAACTTTAGTGTGTTTTAAGTGTTGTTTGCAAGGTATTAACCACTGTCTTTGTTCAGTCTATAATATTTTACTTTTTAAAACATTTAAAAAAAAAACTCATGAAAATTAGCATGCATCCGGAAGCATGCTGCTTTATAAAAACGCTATGTATTCTATGGTTGGTTTGTATTATGCAGAAGAACGTAATATAAAAAAATGTAGATAATTGCCTGTTTGTTTTTTCCAGTATTTTCACATGACGACAGGGTAAATGAGTAAATTAAAATTATAAGCTTAGCCTGTAAACTAATCCTAAGATTTGTATTATATTCTCCAAAGTTTATTTTCACATTGATTTATTTACGCTTGATTTGCTAATGATCAGGATATAACATGGATGTACTGGTTATCAGAGGAGAAATCTGTGGAATGTTTACACGCGAAGTAAGTAAAAATGTGGCTAATGGGTATACAAATAAAAGTTTATAGGTAAAACGTGTGTCATATAATATTGCAATTTCTTACCTACTATAAATTTCCCGGTTGGTATTTTGATTGAGAGAATGGCATAAAACAATTAAATCAATGTTATAAGATTTCTTTTCAGTACACAATGAATACTTTACCAACAGAGAAATACCGCAGGCGAGAACTGTTTAAGAATATGGAATACGTGTTGCGCATAAAATTAACAATATTGTTTTATATAACAAAAAGGTAATCATATAAAGGAATGTTATTCACTTTAAAACACTTGTCTAAAGTTTTAGATATACATTAGATATACACTTCCAAAATGAGTCTTTATTGTCTACTTATTGGCTGTTTGCAGACATTATTTTAGTTATAGTTTAGTACTTAGGTTCTTTGGGTTTTAAAAATCTGAGGAAAATGTTAAGAAATAGTTTAATATTGGGTGTTTTGTCTTAAAAGGAAACAGACAATCGCATTTGTGTGTAAAAGGTCATTAGCAGGTTTTTAGGTTACATGCTTTATCAATTTGGCTTTAAATTATTCTTCACACAAAGCAATATTTCCTGCATATGTCTTTGCCCTGATCGGCATATTTCATGTGTGTATATATCTTACGAGCATTAAGTCTCTTAGTATCTTATTTTAATGGCAGAATATTTCAGAAACACAAGTCGTTGTAGTACACAAAAATAAATATCAATAACAAACTTACATTACGTTATTATTATTAAGTCAAGAAATTTTTGATCTAGGATTCATGACATCAGATTTTCTTATACGAAATTAAAACAAAAAGGGTTTCCTCTATAATTCCTCGTGTAAATGTTTGGCGTTTACTACCGTTTCACTAAAACCGATCCTTTAAGAAACTGATTAATTGATGGTGTCACACATTTTTACTGAAGTACTCTTAAAAGTCACGTTGTTCCATGGCAGATATTGCGTACAGGTCAACGCACGTTATTGTAAAATAACGCTCTATTCATCCATCTGAGTGCTATTTTGATTATATTACGATTACAGATATAAGCTGGTATTTTCTGATCTTTGCAATCTAAATCTTTGTTTTCCTGTATAAGTTTATTTTAATATACTATACTTCATCTTGCAGGGCACCGAGTTGAGCGACTCCGTTTTGATATTTTGCTATGACAGTTTGTGTTTGATACATACGAAATTTTGCATGATCAGAGTTTCTAAAATATGATAAACAAGATCGACAAGGAAAGGCGGCATTCAATGAACGCAGCCCCCACCCGACCCAGCAACAAGCGCCAGCGGCAAGGAGCCCAGGAGGACCCCAAAGAAAAACAGGACAGGGCACAAGGCAGAGTACGGGCAGGCAAACCACTACATCAGAATACATAATAAGTAACTTATAAGGAAATAAAACAAAACAAATAAATGATTTAATATAAGGCCCAC